AACGCCCTGCTGTGTTTCTCCAGCCCTATGCCTTCCATCAGAGTTAAGCTCCAAAGCATGGGTCTCACATGAGTCTCTTCCTGCTTGATCTCCCATGGAGTGTCTCCCTTGAAGTTCAGTCAGTGTCTCCACCTTACTTACTCCCCAAAATGGTGTGTGTATGTCTGTGTGCATGTGCGTTTCCTGGGAATCTGACCTGGGGCTTCAGGCATGCCAGACCCACATTTTAACTCTTGGCACATCCCTGCCCACTCTCCCTATCCTTTTGGCACTTTGGAAGTTTTCCAGACACATGCCTTTGTGGAGCCTAGAGGCTTTCTCCAGGGCCCATTTTGAAAGCTCTGCAGAGGGGCAAGGAGCACGGCCCAGGTGTAGCTGAGGGAGGATGAGGAGTGGATGGAGGCTTTGCTTTTGATGTCCATGTTTTTCTCTTGCTTCAAATCAAAGCCAGGGTCTCGTGCTGGCTAGGCCGGTACTCTGCGCCATCTCTCCATACTTCTGGTTCTCTCTAACACTTTTTTAAACCAAATACACTCAAACAACTTAAGAGTTTGACTTACTTGTCAAGCACCCTCTTGCCACTTCATCCCACTCCACGGCTGCTGTATTTCATTTGAGCAGATCTGTATTCCTCTTATCTATATAACGTTGGCCCAGTTTCTAGAGTAAATAGGGTTCCCTTCCCCTTCCTTGCCCATTTCATAGCCATTATGGAATGATGCTGAAATCTTGCGTTTCTCCACCTTGAGGGAAGAGGTGAGAGGTTTCAGTACATCCCAACTTGAACAGTCTTCCCTTTGAAGTACTAGTCAGTCCTGGGTGACTCTAGGGACACTCTACTAGGCTGTGAACGTGGACATCACCCTAAACCTACACTATAGCCCATTACCTAGCAACAGTATGGAGAGACACTGAGAAAGTAAGCCAGGTGGACTCTAGCCTTGCAGGTGGAATCAGTGCCGTTGTATGAGAGATATGAGACCTGGCTCTGAGTTACATGCCTGTCATCCCAGATCTTGTGAGGCGTGATCAATCTGAGGCCAGCTTATCTCAGAGGGTAAAAAGGTGGGTGGGTCAGGAATATGACTCAATGGTTAATATGCCTGAGGCCTGGGTTAGATTCCCAGAACAGACAAGTAGAGGAATAAACAGACAGACAGATATAAAAATAAGCTTAGGTTTGGGAATATTGCTCAATAGTAGAGCACTTGCCTAGTGTATGTGAGTTCCTGGGTTCAATTCCCAGAACCATAAAAATAAATAAGTAAATATAAATTTGTCTCAAGATAATACCAGGTTTTTTGTTTTATCTGATTGTTTAAATCTCCAAGCTCATGTACAACACATTCATATGTCACAAACCCTCATAGCTCTGACTAGAAAAATGAAAAAGCAAAGCAAAACAAAAAAAAACCCAAGGAGACACCTAGTCTACTGGCACAAGTCTTTAATGTCAGCACCTGTGAGGCAGAGGCAGGTGGATCTCTGTTACAGTATATTTGATGCCATTGTGAACTGGAAAAGCCTGTTTCTTTTTGTGGTATGCCTCAGCCCTCGTATATACCTTTTACCCAAGAGCTTTCTGTTTACTGTAAACAAGTATTTGTGGTTTGGCTCAGCCCTAGCACACACCTTTAATCCAAGAGCTAAATAAGTCAGCCATAGGTCAAGAGGCAGAGCAAACAACCAGTTGGAAAGGGAGTAAACATAAGTAAACAGAAAGGACACTGAGTTGAGGGCACTTAAGACAGCATGAAGAAAGAAAAGGAGCTTTTTTCCTTCTGGGACATCAGCTGAGTAAGAAGGTCAGCTGGGTGCTTTCTCTGTCTCTCTGAACTGGCAGGCTTTTACTCCAACTTCTGGCTCCTAAGTCTTTATTGATAAAATTGAACAACTGGATTTTTTTTTGTTGTTGTTGTTTAAAAACAACATATTTCTCTGAATTCAAGCCCAGCTTGGTCTATATAATGAGTACCAGGACATACAGGGCTACATAGTGAGACCCTGTCACAAAAACAAAATCCAACAAAAATACAAAACAAAAAACAAAACAAAACAAACAAACAAACAAACAAAACAAAAAAACAAGGAGATGTAGTATGGTGCCTGTTTTTTCTTCTGGCCCCAAGCTCCTGGAATAATGACCCATGACACTCAAAATATATTTACAAATACCTAGGCCATATAGATAGGCTCTTATCTGACTAGTTAGCTCATAATTTAAAATAACCATTTGTACTAATCTACACTCTGCCCATGGCTGGTTACCTCTACTCAAGTACCATTTGTCTGTCTTCCTCACATCTTCCCAGGTGAATCTCCTGTGGGAATCTCCCCAAGTCTGGCTCTACCCCAGAATCCTTTCTGCATGCTTGATGTCCCACCTTTTATTTTACCCTTTCCTATAGGCCATAGGTTTTTATCGACAGGTGTTGCATCCCTACAATACACAAGATAGTCTCGCCACAGTGGCATGAATGATCACATCGCATTTGGTCTTTCTCTTTCCTCCTTCCTTCCCTCTAGTTTTTCCAGACACTGTTTCTCTGCCTAACACTGGCTGTCCTGGAACTCACTCTGTAGACCAGTGTAGACCAGGCGTGCCTCAAACTCAGAGATTCATCTGCCTATGCCTCTCGAGTGCTGCTATTAAAGACATATGCCACCACTGCCCATTTTGAAATAAAAATTTAAGGGTGTGTCCCACTAGTAGGTTTCCCCATGCCCCAGTGGATGGCTCCAGTCATTCACATTAACTCAGTGGGTTAAAAAAAAAATCTAAATAAATAAATAAGAACTTTAGAGCTGGAAGTATGACACCACACCTTTTTGAATCTTCTACCATTCAAAAATTTAAATTTTTTTGTGAGTCAAAAAAGCACTAGGAGTGCTGAAGAGATTGCTCAGCAATTAAAGATCAGATACTGTTCTTCTAGAGGCCGTATTTCCCAGCACCCACATAAGATGTCTTACAACTGCCTGTAACTTTAGTCGCAAGGGTTCTGATGCCCCCAGACTTTGTAGGCACTGAACTCATGTGCATGTAACCACACACACGATTAAAAATAAATCTTTAAAAAGTATTAGGAAACTTGCCCTCGACATGACTTCTTACTTGAAAGATGCAGCTCACGGTGGGGCTGGGGAGAGGCAGGCTGGTGTCACAGAAGCCTTGGCTCTGTGTAGGGTCCAGGAAGTGCTCCTGGATATGATGTGCAGAGCCAGAGTTCCAGCAGGGCCACTGGGCACAGTTCGTTGCAAAGGCAGTGAGGTAGCTCGGGTACCTGCTGCCGGCAGTCTCAGGCAAGCAAGCCCCTTGTTTCCTCTGATCCTCTCCCAGATAAACTGAGCCTTTTCTAAGAGCCCTAAATTTTGTTACCAAGGGAGCCTCTAATCTTGCTTCTCCCACAGACGGTTCTGCTTCCTGTCCTAACAATTCTGAAACGCGGGTCCTCGAATCTAGGCCCTCGTGCAGGCTTAGCAAGAACCCTACCGCTGAGCTACTCCCACCTCCGTCCTGCAGTGGTAATTTTTATGTCATCAAATAGGCCTGGGGCCTGTTCGTGGAACTCAGGTGGGTCCTGCTTCTCATGCTGAGAAGCATCCTCAGCATCAGACACTGGTCCAGGCCGGGCGAGGTTAAGGAACGCGACCCCGAAGCCCCGCCCCGGACGCGCCCACAGGCGTCAGGGAGGCTGCGGTCCCCGCTGCTTAGGGAGATAGAAACGCGCTCCTTCGAGGTAGAAGCTTTTGGCCGGGCCGCGGTTGCGGCCGCACGGGCCTCGGGCGTCCCACTCTACCCCACAGACGGTTTGGTTCTGCCCGGGGATCCCCGCCGCGGCCGCCCGACGTCACGGAGCCCCCGGGAGGCCCCGCCCCGCCTGCGCCGGCCGGAGCCGAGCGCGGCCGCTCGGGCCTCGGCGGCCATGGCGGGACCCGGTGCCCCCTGCGGTCCCCGCGCGCCCGCCGCGGGCTGGAAGCGCCACATCGTGCGGCAGCTGCGGCACCGGGACCGCACGCAAAAGGCCCTCTTCCTGGAGCTGGTACCAGCGTGTGAGTGCGCCCCGGGGCTCAGGGAGGACGGCTTTGAGGCGTCGGGGAGGGCTGCTCCCGCCGCTGGGAAGGTGGCTCGGGGCGGCCGCCCCGTCTCCATCCCCGGCCTTGCCTCTGGACCCCGTTACGCCCCTCTCCGGACAGGCAGGGACCCTCCTGCCCTTTCCAGCCCTCGAGGCGCAGCTCTGCCTCCCTTGAGCATCCCAGACACACGCTCCGTCTCCAAGGGCCAGTTTGGCCGAGTGTCCCTTTTCAGGCGGTCCCCAGGGCAGGACCCGGCCAGTTCGTTTCCTCCCCAGAGTCCAGTTAAGGAAGGCAGGCGTGGCCAGAGCAGCCATGGTGGCCCGAGAGGAGGGAGCGAAACCCTGGTAGGTTCTGCTACGGATAGGCTATCCTGACACTGGTTCGTGGAGCACCTCAGTGCCTATCGGAGCTGCTTCTGGGTGCTCGTCGCGCCAGCGGAAGTTCAGCTCTCACACGGTTATTTCTGGGCAATTTGGTCAAGAGGGGGTGTGGCTGAGATCCACCTAGTGCATCTGTATTTACTGTACGTTCGGGGCTGAAAGTCTAACCACAGCCCCTATGCTTCCCCTCAGAGTGCTAATTTTGGTGTGCCTACTCAGTCAAACTTGTTTTTCCTTGGAGCATTCTAGCGGCTGGCCCTCTCTTGAGGTTGTTTACCTCTGCCTCCAGGCGGCTTCACTTCTCCAACTGCTCTGAAGGGCCGCGGGACGACCGGTTTGAGGGAGGGGCCGCTCCCAAGAACTCTTTGGGAGCTGCCAGTGTGGGGACTTCGGGCTGTGGTTTAAGGCCATTCAGAATCTGTGTGGTCTTGGGTAGTTCAAGTCCTTAACCTTAGATCTTTTACTTGCAAATGAGGGATATTGTGACCTTGAATGCTGGGGGCACGGGAGGGACGGGAGGGGGCCGCTGGCAATATCTTGGGGTCTGGGGCAGAGTTTTGAGAATTAGGCCTGGCCCAGGAACCTCAGTTAAGGTAGACAGTGAGGGAAGGGAGACAAGGACCCTAGTCTGCCCCGGAACTGTTAGGAAAAAAAAAAAAAAAAAGCGGAAACGACTGGAAAGGGGTGTGGATGGGGAGGGGTCTAAGGTCAAACCACCTAACTTGGGGAAATTTGTTAGGTAATTGCTCAAGGACTTTCAGTATTGACCTGGGGGAAAGCTACCGGGTGGAAGCGAGAATTACTTCATTGTAAGCTTAGAGACCTGGAAGGGGAAGTGACTTGTTGGAGGCCACAGGCAGGTGGCCTTGTTTGCATCATCACACTCTGGATCCAGACTTTGCCTCTGCATCAATCCCAGGCTCCTTGCTTCCCTTCCGCCCCCTTTCCAATGTTACCTAGCCATGTCTGTCCCCAGCAGTGTGGTCTTTCTGTCCTTGTCTCCTGAGTGGGCCTGTGGGCCAGTGCTATGGAGAGGCTTTACCAGACACAGGAATGCCCTAGGAAGGGACAGAGTCCAGCCCCTAGGAGCGCCCCTATTCCCAGGACCTCTGCAGCCATCCCAGCCTGAGCTAACACTTGTGTCAGGGTCTGCTGGCAGGCGTCTGCCTCTGCCACAGGCTTGCCCTCTTGTATCCCCAGATAACCATCTCCTGGAGAAGGCTGAACTGCTAGCCAAGTTCTCAGGAAAGCTGCAGTCAGAACCAAAGGATGCCTCCTCCACCCCACATCAGGACTCCTGGTGAGTGTGTGCGCGATGCTGGTGGGCTGCTGGGGCCCGCCTCTTTGCTGTGCCTCTGTCATGCTCAGCCCAGGCCCCTTTACTAGCCGGCAGCTATTGCCGACGTGAGGGGGGCAGGAGACAGCCCCTTGAGTCCTCCACAAGCCAGCTGCTTCATATGTTCTTCCTGGACTCTGCACATTTGCCTCCTGTCCAGTCCTGGACTCCTGCTTCCCTTTCTGAGTCTCCTCTCTCTCTCTCTCTCTCTCTCTCTCTCTCTCTGTTCCTCACCTGATAGCTACAAAAAGGGTTTCGCTGCCTATTCCAAACGGGGTGAAGACAAAAGCAGCGAATAGGTTGGAGACAGAACTGTTAAGATGATGCAGCCTTGGTGGGCTGCCAATGGCCTTGAACTCCTGATTTTCCTGCCCCCGCCTCAGGGATTGCAGGTGTGTACCACCATGTCACACCTGGCTCCCTCTTGTGTGTTTATGTGCAATTTGAATGTGCATCTGTGGAGGCCAGAGGTTGACATCATGTGTCTACCTTAATTATGTTTCACCTGATTTTTTGCGACAAGCTCTTGCCCTGAACCTGTAGCCGACTGATTGATTCAACTTCTTCAGCCCTGGCAAAGCATGCCAGGTTCTCTGTTGTAGGTGCCAGGGCCCAAACTCAGGTCCTCATTCTTGTGTGACAAGCAGTGTCCCGAGTGAGCCATCTTTCTAACCCTGAGCTAATTTTACAGGGTCTCATTATCTCAGCCAGCTGGCCTGGGGCTCAGAATACTGTTTTATTAGCCTCTGTGTTCCGGGGACGGAAGCAAGTGCCGTTGTGCTGGCAGGTGCTTCTTAAGGAGTGTCCCTGGCAGGGGCCCAGGTCTGGACCATCCTAGAGCAGAGGGGTCATGGGCAGCTTATTTCCGAGACTGCTCTCTCTTTGACTGGCTTCCACCTACCCCAAGAGAAAGCAAATGGCTCCTCAAGCTCATAATGGGGCCACTCTTAGCGTATTCTTTGGTCACTGGGCTGGTATGAGGGGGCATGAATTTTCCTCTTTCATTGTCAGGGGGGAGTTCTCAGGGCCTGTCCCTGACCAGGTCTCGTCAGCAGCATCTCTGAGGGTGAAGTGGCAGGAGGAGGAGAAGGGGCTGCAGCTGGTCTGTGGTGAGGTAAGCAGGATGGGGGTCTGAGAATGTTGGGTAGGGAGAGACGCCAGAAGCCAGAAAGTGAATGGTACTGCATCTGCTGCATTTTGTCAGTCAGTCCTCCACAACTTTATAGTCACAGAGGAGTATACAGGGCTTAGAGGTGTGGGCCCTGGACTCCAGCCTTTACCCACACAAATCCACTTTCGGTGAATCTTCGTTCATTCTTTCAACAACCTTTTATTGGCAATCCAAGGAACAGGGAGCGTGGCCATAAACAAGACCTGGCCCCGTGGCTTCTGTGGAGTCATAGCATGCCTCACCTGCCCGACACAAGGTGGGAGTGGGTTATGGGGATGTTTGAGAGCCCCTCCCCTGAGGGCTGGGTGCTTTTAATTTGACGGTGGTGCGACATCATCACACGTAGATTTGTGTAGCCACCATGATACACAAGGTTTGTTTATGAGGTCTCTTTCTTACTACCCCTTTTTAGTCAGGTCTGAACATCTCTCACCCCGGGCGCCCCCTAATCTGTTTCTACCTCTAACATTTGAACTTTGAAAGCAAGTGACAGGTCAGGGGAGTGGAGATGGTAACTGGCTTCCTCAGTGTTAAACATGATAACTGAGCTGGTGTGGTGGTGGTGCACACCTTTAATCCTAGTACTTGGGAGGCAGAGGCAGGTGGATGTCTGTGAGTTCAAAGCCAGCGTGAGTTTTAGGAGAGCCAAGGCTATACAGAGAAACACTGTCTTGAAAAAAGAAATGAAAAAAAAAATGGTAAATGTTATAATTGGGTTATGAAGGAATGGGCGGGCCCCCTCTGCCTGTGCAGGGTTGCTCTCCAGGCCTCTCACATGAGGAGTTGTGTCAAAGTAGGTGAACAGCCCTGGGAAGAAGGAATTAGGAACAAGTTAGTGAGAGGAGGCCCCAGCTGCCGTCATTTCCTGAGCCACAGGTGTTATCCTGATCTGCTCACACTTGTGAGCGCAGGTCGCCCTGGCTCCTCCCCAGGGCAAAGCTGTGCTTCCCCCCCATCCCCCCAGGGGGGCCGCATCCCTGCAGCTTTCTCAGTTCTTAGCGAGAGCTGAAGGAATGCTGAACTGTCCTCACCCCACAGCAACAGGACTGAGTCTGGAGCGTTCTTAGTCGTGTGTGCTTCTCTTCTGAGAGCTGCCTGGGTAGGCCAGTAGTGGGGGATGGGCTGGGACGCCAGATGTTGGGGGATGTGAAATAGAACTCAAGCCCCTTGCACCTTCTTAAGTACACCGGTACTTCACATGGAGCAAAATGTAATTAGGTGGCCTGGGTTCAAGTATCAGGTCTGCCACTTGGCTGTGTAACTCTGGGTAAGTCACTTAACCCTTGAGGCAACTTCGTGTGTTGGATGAAAATGGCAGTGCTTCCTTTGGCGTCACGGAGAATGAGTCAGTGTGTGGAGAGCGCTGGGACCAGGTGTAGCACAAGTGCGAGCTGCTAGTCTGCATCATTTTAAGTTCCTGATACTTACCTTGTGATTAGGAAAGCCCTCCCCTGCCATTTTGCAGGTAGGAACTGGGGCAGGTTCCTCTCGCTGCAGGTTCACTATCTACCGCAGCGGCACCGAGAAAATAAAGGACACCGCTAGGACTGACACTTAGGGGTCGGATTGTCCGGGCGTGGCAATTATCCCATAAAGCTGCAGGGCATCCTCATACAAGATCCAAACCTATCTCAGCCTGGGCTTCCCTGTCAGGAACGGGGCAGCGGGGTGGTGGCTGGCTAGGTCCTGCAAAGGCGCCCAGGCCACCTTGTCCTCCCCAGATGGCCTACCAGGTCGTGAAGAAGAGAGAAGCCCTAGAAACCCTGCAGTCACAGCTGGAGGAGCGGCGGGGCCGGTGAGACGAGGGTCGGGCTGGCCTCTGCCCTAGACTAGGGGATGCGAAGAGCTTTCCCCTGGTCCCCACACGCTCCCTAGACCTGCGTTTGGGGGTTGGAGGGCCCACGGGCCACCGCCTGATGTCTCTGCTATGTAGGCTGGAGGCCCTGCAGGCCTGCGTGCGGCAGCTACAGGAAGCGAGAGCACGCGAGTCCCAGCAGCTCAAAGACCGGCGGGCGGAGAACGCGGCGCAGAGGGAAGCCTACGAGGCGCTGCGCGAGCAAGCTGCGCACCAGGAGGCGGCACTGCGCAGGCTCCAGGAGGAGGCGCGCGACCTGCTGGAGCGGCTCGTGCAGCGTAAGGCGCACGCCGCCGCCGAGCGCAATCTGCGGAATGAGCGCCGAGAGAGGTGAAGGCTCTGGGCCACGCCCCGTCGGTAGTAGGCCACGCAGTATGGACTGGGAGGCAGTGTGGACTCAGTCCGCTTGAAAGGTCGGGAGCGGAGGGAGGGAGGAGGGGAAGGGGGGAAAGGGAGAAGGAGGGGGAGGGAGGGGGGAAGGTCAGGGCCTCCCACTGATCAGAAGGGACTTGCTTAGGCTGTAAAGCACCTTCTTTAGCTTTAGGGTGATTTTCTCTGCCAGGGCCAACCAGGCTCGGGTGTCTCAGGAGCTGAAGAAAGCGGCTAAGCGGACTGTGAGCATCAGCGAGTAAGAATGGGGAGGGAACAGGGATGACTCTAGTGTTGGGGGGCTGCCCTAGGATGTGTTCACGAGCCGGTGTATTCGCACCCCACTCCTGCTGGCCTGCAGGTGGCGACAGGTACCCCCGGGGCCTGTGTGCACAGGTCAGGCCACTGGATACACGTAGAGATAGGTGTGATCATGAAATCCACGGTGTGGCAGGGAGGGGCGGCCTTCTCTTCTGGCCTCCCTGAGCTGCTTTTCTCTCCCAGGATCCCAAACTCTTTAGAAGGTGGGACCAAGGAAGAGGCTGTGACTCTAGCTCCTGCTGCTAAGCCCGAGTTCCTGGAGAGTGAGACTTGTGAAAAATGGAAGAGGTCTTTCAGGTGAGCAGTCAGGTGCCCTCACCGAGCCGGCCCCCACCCAGGAGGCTGCCCACAGTTTCTTCCAGGGTCCGGGCCAGCTTTTGGAGAGCCATGTGTACAGCCCAGTGCTGGTCTGACCTCCAGTGCCTGGAGGCTGTGTTACTGAATTCTCCACTTCCAAGAACCAGGGCTCTTGAGGGTGAGCCATTAGGCTTAGGAAAGGGTGTCACTGGGAGGGCAGTGGACAAGACCCTGGGCCACAGAGGTGTCCCATGCCGTGTGTGGAAGCATGGGAGTGCATATGCGGGTCTACACAGGGCCATGAGCACGTGTGCAAGGTTAGGGAGCGTACCTGAGTGAGCCTGTGTCAGTGTGTTCACACTTGGGATCAGATGGGGGCTTGAACCTTTGGGCGCCTCTGCTGGCCTCGAGCTCAGTGTGTGGCCAAGGTGACCTTGCATCCCTGCTTCTGCTGCCTTTGCCCCCAGGAGCCGGGATCATAGGCTTGTGGCAGCATATGTGGCTTTCAGTACATTTTGACTGGGCTGCCTCTCCTCCGCATTTGTGGGCATGAAGGTTCGTTTCTGGAAGTCTCTCCTTCAGCCACCTACGTCCCTAGTACAATGAATGAACAGAACATCATGAAATGCTGGTTCCCCAAATTCTTGGCAACTCTAACGAGTCTAGACATCCCGACATTAACACTTTCTTGGGTGTATTGGGGCTGCTCAGCAAGCTGGGAAGTCCCGTCCCCCCACTGTCTCAGCCTTGTAGTATCTCAGGCCGAGAGCACCATTCTCTTCTGTAGCCTTCGCCACGGCTGGGGCTTGGCCTCTAAGGAGCTTTTGTTGGTGAGCACTTCAGGAACGAGACTCTAGCATCTGGGTGGAGACTGGGGGAAGTGTTCACTGACAAGTTCTCCCTCCCTCCACCCTCCTGGGTTAGTCTTCAAGGAGTCAAATTCTAGTTCCTGCCTTGAGCGAGCATGAGCCTCCTTGGAGGACAGCAAAATATAGGTGACAAAATATCAGTGACTGTGGTCAGCACAACCCGAGCCGGGCTCTCAGGATGTCTCTCCGCTCTGCCCCAGGTCTGCCTCAGCCACCTCTCTGACACTGTCCCGCTGTATGGATGTGGTGAAGGGGCTGCTGGAGTAAGTGTGTGTGTACCTGTGTGAGGGCTTGGCACTCCCGGTAAGGCTTCCTGAGCCTCGCCACGGTCTGTCCAGGTCTGTCCATCCGTCGGTGCCTGTCTGTATGTGCATCTTGTTGGACTCCACAGGCAGGATGGGTGACTAGCTCAAGACCAACTCCCGATAACTGCTCTCCAGCTTCCTAATGCTCTGTCTTTATCCAGGGTCCCGACTGGGGACTGAGTGCTTGCCTGATACTGGTCAAGAACTCCCACTCAGTTGGGAAACCCAGGCTGAGAAATGTCTGAGATTTGTTCAGTTTCTTAGATTAGTAGTGGTAATGCCATGGCTGAAATTCCAGCCAGCCCTAATGTTTCTATGCACCCACCGCCCTGCTTGTGTCTGCTTATCTCAATGTACAGCACCCACACCCCCACGGCGGTCAGGCTGGCTTGTGAGCCCTGCTCACTGTGCATTGGTAATGTCCTGCCACCTGCCATGTCTGCTTCTTGTTGTTGCTGCCTCAGGAGAACGTGAAGTCCCCATGTCAGCAGGTTTTACTGAGTGCTTTTCTGATCCTACCCTTGTAGCTTCAAGAAGAGGAGAGGTCACTCAGTGGGGGGTGCACCTGAGCAGCGGTACCAAGGCATCCCCATGTGTGTGTCTGCCCAGATTCCTACCCAGGCTCAGGATATCTTGGTAAGGAAGGAGTTGGGCCACAAGCCTGGGGCGCTGATAGGAATGTTTAGGGGTGGCCCAAGAAGCAAGGCTGGAGGAGTTTGCCTGCAGCCTGTGGTGGGAACCCCACAGCATTTTAGAGTAGAACACAGACTAGAGATAATGAGATAGGAGGCAGACACCCAACTCAGAGCATGGGGCAGCAGGGGTCTGGGCATAGCTGAAAAGACCTGCTGGGGCCAAGTTTGAAACTCAGTTTTGCAAAGACCCTCAAAGGGAACTGCCAACACCCGGGAGTGGGTACAAAGAGGCACGCGTGGGGGAGACCTGGGTGCCATCTCCAGCCCCCCCCCCTTTTTTTTTGCAGGATGCCCATCTCTCTGAGGTCAATGCTGTTTGTTTTGGCCCCAACATCAGCCTCCTGGCCACTGGAGGGGCTGACCGGCTTATCCACCTCTGGAATGTTGTGGGAGGTAAGGGTTCCTTCCTGAAAGCCAGCGCAGCACTTTTCTGCAGACCCCACTCCCAGCGAGACCCTGGGTTGGCTGTGGTCTTAGAACTGTCTCCCACCTCCCCCACTGGGATGGTCCTATGGACAGTGGCTAGAGAACTGGGGAAGATGGGTACTGAGCTCGTTGCTTGAAGGACAAGCTCTTTGGGTGCAGGCCTGCAGAACGGGGAGGGCCAAGCCCAGATGGCTGTTGTTGGAGGTAGTGACCCCTGACCCGTCCTCCAGGCATATAGAGCCAGGTCTTAGGCAAGTCCCTAGGTCTTCCAAGACACCTTTTAATTTTTAGATAGGGTTTTACTAGGCAGTCTTGGCTGACCTGGAACTTGGCATGTAGACCAGGCTGGTTTCAAACAGAAATCTGCACGCTTTGCCCCCCAGGGCTGGTATTACCTCTGTGCCGATGTGCCTGGCATGGCTACATCCTATTCTGGTATCACTTGCACCAGCAGAAATCACTGAGGTGACCAGCACTGACTGTCCACCTTGTTTTAGGCCCTGTGCTCTCTGGGGAGGGGAACTCAACACCAACTCTTGAAGGCTTCCCAGAAGTGGGTCTCCAGCCTGCCTGACCTGGCCTGCAGTAGTACCTAGGGACAGTCCCTTCTCCCTGGTCTTCTCTAGCGTTGTGAACTACCTGGTTGTCCATAGGGCTATACCAGCAGTTAGAGGAAATGCAGCCTCCACACCAGACCCCAGGCCAGATCAGCCATTCTTGTCTTCTACTTCCTGCTCTGTGCCTCAGTTCCTCTATTTTGTAAGGCTAATAATCTCATTTCACTGTCCTTTCCCGTGTTCTGTCAGGTCGTCTGAAGGCCAACCAAACCCTGGAAGGAGCTGGTGGCAGCATCACCAGTGTGGACTTTGACCCCTCAGTAAGGAGACCTTGTCCCATGGCATCTATATTGCCTTAGTCTCCACATTGGGCCGCGGGCTTTGGGCCTGAGGGCACACTGGGTGTCTTTGAACCTTCCTTGGAAGAGCCACACTCACTTGCCTGAACCATGGCTCCCCTGCTTGCCTCAGTGACTGGGAAGCTTGGAGGCAGCCTCTACCCTGACACTCTGAGGGCAAATGCCTCTGCCAGGCCCGGTGTGGCCCAGGAACTCTCCTATTCCCTCTCTCCAGGGCTCCCAGGTTTTGGCAGCTACTTACAACCAGGCTGCCCAGCTCTGGAAGGTGGGAGAGACACAATCCAAGGTGAGGCGCAGCGAGGGAGGCTGCCTAAGGGTTAAGGGTCATACAGAGGGGCCATTTTGGCTTAATCTGTGCTTTCTATGGGGACAGGAGACGCTGTCTGGACACAAGGACAAAGTGACGGCTGCCAAATTCAAGCTAACAAGGCACCAGGCAGTGACTGGGAGCCGAGACCGGACAGTGAAGGAGTGGGACCTGGGCCGCGCCTACTGTGAGGACCGGTCATACCTGCCCCAACCCCCTCTCAACGCCCCAACGCCAGGGGCCTCACCTTGTTCTGTGGTGGTGGCTCTGGGATCATATCCATTTGGGCTCAGACCTCTAATGGTTTCCCTTCTCATTCACTGCTGCTCGCTTGCTGCTTTCTTGGTGACCCTGGTCTTTGGTAGGTGAATTAGACGTAGCGTGAGCCCTAGGCAGGGAAGGTCTTGGAAGGAGTCTGGCCTGCTTAACCTTGGAGTCTCCACATTTCGTGGTTCCTGAGGAATCTCTGAGACTCTGGGATCTTTTCATTGGTCCTCAGGTTCCAGGACTATCAATGTACTCTCCTACTGTAATGACGTGGTATGCGGGGACCACATCATCATCAGTGGCCACAATGACCAGAAGATCCGGTTCTGGGACAGCAGGTGATGGGCACGGGCTATGGGTGCTGGAGGCCCCTGAGGTTTTGTTCCTTCCTCTGGCTGTGGCAGGAAGAGCTGTGGGAGCTTAGGGAAGTGTGACTGTGGCTTCTGCTGGGCATGGTCGCTGTGGGTTCAGTGTGTCTGCGGAGGTGTGGCACCTTCTTAGTGGTTCTCAGTGAGCACTGAGCTCTTCCCCAGGCTTTATAGCCAACACAGACAAGCACCTTTTCCATTTTACCACCACCTTTTAGTCAAAAACAGTAACAAAGGAATAGTTCCTTTTTAAAGTAATAAGCCCAACATTAGGCATGGATGGCTGGCGAAGCAGGGCTAGAGGGTTGAACCTGGGGATTTACATCTGCTAGGAGAATGCTCCCAGCCTTTTTTTTTTTTTTTTTTTATCGAGACAGGATCTCAAGATAATTGATTGTTTCTGTTATTCTCCAGTGACCCAAGTCTTTAAAGGCTCTCAAATCAGTCTCTCAATGGAGAGAGCTGGCTTAGTGGGAAGGGACAGTAGTCTTGTCAGCCTTAGCCCCAGGTGAAAGCCCTGGCGTGCCTCTGGAATGTTAGCTGGGCAAGTGGACACATTCAGCCTGTCACAAGTACCCTAGGATGTCTTTTCCTCATCCTTCTCTACCCCTGCCCCTTCAGGGGACCCAACTGTATCCAGGTCATCCCTGTACAGGGCCGGGTGACCTCCCTGAACCTCAGCCATGACCAGCTCCATCTGCTTAGCTGTTCCCGAGACAATACACTCAAGATCATCGACCTGCGAATCAGCAATATCCGACAGGTGTTCAGGTACTGGCGTGGGCGGCACTCCCTGACACCCCTCTAGTCTAGGACCTGCTGAAGTGCTGGCCCCTTTTCACATCTGGAGGAGGACTGGAACACAGGTAGCAGCCTGCATTCTGACTTCAGCCCTGTTCTGTCTTCAGGGCAGATGGCTTCAAGTGCAGTTCTGACTGGACCAAAGCTGTGTTCAGGTGCGTCTGGGAGGGCATACCTGTGTAGCCCGTGTGTTTGTGAGTCTGCACTCCTGAACTCTTTCTCCTCTTCTGCTGTGACTTGTACAGCCCTGACAGAAGCTATGCACTGGCAGGCTCCTCAAATGGAGCCCTGTACATCTGGGATGTGAACACCGGGAAACTGGAGAGCAGCCTACAGGGACCCCACTGGTGAGCAGATTGCCAGATGAATACCTTCCACATTCCGACATGGCCCCAGACTCCACTTGTATTTGGGCCCCTCACCCCCACAGTCCTGGGAGCACTTATCATAGCTGAGGAAATGGTCTTGGGCTTAGAGCGGCTTCTCAAACTGCCTAGGTTGGTTGGATGTCGAGGGCCCCAGTCAGGCTGCCCGTCTGCCCCTGCTGCCCTCCTGAGGCCTGTCTTCTTCCCTTAGCACTGCCGTCAATGCCGTGGCCTGGTGCATCTCTGGGAACCATGTTGTGAGTGTGGACCAAGGCAGGAAGGTGGTGCTCTGGCACTAGGGGCACCACTGCCCTGTATGGGTTGGACTCTGAAGCCAGAAGCCGGAGAACAGCTTCCTTCTGCTCAAGATCCCAGAGCCAGGGTTGGGGTCGCTGTAGATTTCATGCGAGGGCCTGGCAGGACCTGGCCTGTTTGTTGAAATCAAAGTGTGCGTTAGGAACTACGATGTTAAAGAACCTATGTTTACTCTCTTCAGAGTGCTAAAAATTGTATCTAAGCATGTCTTGCCTCTTTGAAGCATTTGGGGGTACAGGGAGACTTAGGCTTGGCCTCTTCTTTGTCCATAGAGCTTGTGCAACTTCTGCCTGGGTGAGGGGCTGTTTCAGCCTAGCTATGGGATAGCATGAAGAGGCCCAAGCAGCAGTAAAATTCACCCTTTCCATCAGGACCTCTGTGGGCCTGGGCCTGATGGAGGGTGAATAGACTAGAGTGATATCAGAATACTCGCTCCGAGGACTGCCTGGAGACCAGGACCATGGCCTGGCCTGCAGTTCCATCTTCCAGATGGCAGGTGGCCTCCTCCTGCCACTGCCTCCCTTACGTGTTACCTCTGCCCCTCACATCACTGGGGTTTCTGTTTGGTGCTTCTCTAAAGGTGCCTTTACTCCCCTAGTCTTGTCCTCACCAGAACCCAGTGTTCTTAGCTTTTGTTGTTGTTTTGGACAGGGCCACGTTATGTAACCCCCCTGGTCAGCCTCAGTCCTGGGATGGCAGTCATTTTCAGCCCCAGCCCTCAGGCAGGGTCAGCGTGGGCACAAGTCCCCCTTTGCCTTCCGAGAACTGCAGCACTTTGGTGTTCTTCACATGCTTCTTCCTCTGCCTTCAGTGTCCATGTCCCTCCCACGGCAATTCAGGTTGTCTTTTGGGATCCCCTTATCAACAGCTTACCCTCACCTGCCAGGCTGGGTAAGAGGCCGTGATCCCCCACTTCCAGTTTGCCTCCCTTCTTAAAAATGAAGAGTAGGAATAGTACTTCTTGCATCCAGGCCTGGCTCAGAAGCCACAGGAAATGCTTCCCGAGTGGTCATACTCTCTTGCTTCGCAACTTCAGCAGTCAAAGGTTCCAGGAATGGGACATTCCAGCAGTTCAAACTGTCAGCCTTGGCCCAGCCCCTTGGCGCAGCTCAGTGGCCACCAGGGGTCACTAGTTGCCTGGTCAGCAGAAGGTTTTTGTTTTTTGTTTTCCGGGGCCTTTCTTCCGGGAAAGCGTAACGCTGCCAGTAGCCACTGTTATTGAGGATCACCCAGGCCTCAGCCTTGCTCTGCTCTCGGCAGCCTTATTCCTCCCCAGCACTTGTGCTAGACCATCTACAGGTGAGAAAAGAGAGGCCTGAAGCTTGTCCTTCAAGGCCACACAGCTACTAAGACATCTGGGTGGTTCTGCACCACACCTCACAGCCGTTTATTTTGGAACAGCCTCAAAAGGACCTTGAACAAATGACTCTCCTGCCTGTGCCTCCATCTCCCAAGTGCTGCCATTACAGAGGTGTGCCCCACCCAATACGGTACTGGCACTGAACCTCGGCTATATGTGGGTCAGGAAGGCACTCTACCAACTACGTCCTCAATCCACAGCCTCCTTTTCTTTTTAGAAATTTATTTTCTGTTGGAGTATTTTGCCTGCATGGAAGTAAGTGCACTGTGTGTGCCTGGTGCCCACAGGGGACAGATCCTCTTAGACTGAAGTTATAGATGGTATGAGCTACCAAGTAGCTGCTGGGAACCGAACCCTGATCTTCTGCAAGAGCACGTGCTCTTAACTTCTGAACCATATAAAACCAAAATCTCAAGGGTGGAGGCTCCCGAATGGGCAGGGCTCCTTCACCAGGGGTACATGGAGGCGTGCCTAACCTTACTCTCCCAAATGCTAGAGCCAAGTTCAGTAGAGGCACTGGCCTAGCCTTGTGGAAACCAGGTTGGTGGCTGCTCCCACTCTTGCCACAGTGGCCCTCAGGCTGTGTGTCCCCTCCCCACTGTGGACCGTCTCACAGGGGCTGACCCACAGATTTGAGGGCTGCTGGCTGAACTGCCCAGGCTCAAGCCTTACTGCTTCTAAGACCCCACAGAAAAGAGACAAGTCCTGGTGTAGGGATCCTATTGCTAGTCCTAGCTCAAGCCTATTCTTGAGTCTGTCCCACAAGATGTGAGCCCCCTAGTTCCCTGTGGGTGGCCGCTGCAGGAATCCTGACCTCAGGTGTAGGCCCACTTATGAGGTTCAGACATACCATGGGTACCATGTCTGCTGGAAGTACACCCACTAGTCACTGTCTTTAGTTCATCTGTGTATTATCTTATTTAATCCTCCTGGATCTGCGACAATTGATATTTTCTTCTCACAAGTTACTGATGAGGAAGGGCCCAGACTTAGGTCATGGCAGGCAAATCCATGCATGGCAGGGGTTGGTGCCCATGGGTCTTCACCTAGTTCTTCCCCTGCCCCTTCCTGGTGTGTTTGGCACACACACAAGCCTGTGGTCCTCGCTCACAGGTTCCTTTTTTTATGCATCAGGGTTAACATTCCAAAAACATGTTCCCTGACTACCACTCTAAGGAAGAGAGGAACATGAAGGAGTCCTGTGTGTTTTCTTGGCCACTGGTCCACAGGCAAATAGTCCAGGAACAAGACACGCCTTGGTGTTCTCGTGGTTTTTGGCAGCTCATGCTTTTACAAAGCAAACCCAGCAAGGGGGAAACTAAACTGGTGATGTCAAGTTGCAGGATTTCAGGGAAAATGTCAATTTTCCCCTTCCTGACCTGAAATTTATGTAATTTGGTTCTATTTCTGGCATATATGTATATATACCAACTTAAACTAAATAAATGCAGAGATTTAGTGTGGACAGATTCTGTCATAAGGCCACTCAGAGAGAGCTGGGCAGTAATTAGAACCAAATCCTAAAGCTGTGGCTGGACTTCTTGAGCAATGTGACTGGCGCAGCCTGGGAGGAACATCGTGATACAGAGCATAATGGCTGCCTTGTCTCTGGGGATGAGTCCAGGGACCTGAGGTTTTTGTTTGTTTGTTTGTTTTTTGTTTTTCCATGCCAAGAAATCCATGCCTATTTTCAAACACTGCAAGCTTTAGTGTAATTTCTTTCTGCCTCTAGAATAGCTCAACTGATCTAGGGTGAAAACTTTAATGGGATAAGCCCATCAAAGTCACCCTCATTGCATCCTTTTTAAAGATGGGATAGTGGCTGCTGGAAGGGAAGGGTGCCCATTAGGTAGTGGCAGGGGTAAGCCTGATAACATCCTCCTGCTCTGACTTATGGACCTGGGGAGGCAGGGGCCAGGTAATCAACAGTGACAGCTTGGTCAGTTCCTACAACCAAGGAAGTCCACGTGGGTGACACTCGGGTAGGATAACTAGCTGAACTCTAGCCTAAGTTAACGGCCAGGCCTCCAAGACTAGCGTCAGACTTGAAAAACCAGCTGCATTCACTGCAGAGAATGTGTCCTTAAAGTTATTGCCAGGTTTATGGCTTTTTTTCCCCCCAAGACAGGGTTTCTCTGTTTGGCCTTGGCTGTCTTGGACTCACTTTGTAGACCAGGCTGGTCTCGAACTCAAGAGATCCTCCTGCCTCTGCCTCCCTGAGTGCTAGGATTACAGGCATGTGCCCCCACTCCCGGCTAGGTTTATGGCACTTCAAATCCTGCTGTTCCTGTGTGGCTAGGGGACGGGAAATCCGAGCATCTGCACGGAGGCTCCCTCTGAGCCCTGACCTGTGCATGGTGATGCTGGGTTATTCGGCCTGGAGAGAAGGGTTATTTTATTTTTTTAAAAAGGAGGCATATTTTTACAACTTTGTTTCTTAAAATAAGAAAGGACCCCTCGTCCTGAAGGCCGAGGGATGACAGTATGCGGCTTTGTACTGCACACTTTGTGTCCTTCTTGTATCTAGGCTCCTCAGGCTGCAAGACACAGCCAGGATTTAATAGCCTACACCTGACTTCTGAGACCATGTTGCTCCATATGCTGTTGGTGGAAATGCAAACTGCTACCATTCTTTTGGAGGCCAATTTAGCAAAAATTTCACAAAAGTAAATTTATACCCTTTCTGTCAAATTCTACATTAGGGAATTTGCCCACAACAATCTTAGTTTCAATTTCCTAGAAGCAAATGGGTAGACACTACTTAAATGCCCTTCACTAAAGGAATGATTGAATTATTATATAGCCAAACAACTGAATAGAATGCAGCCATCAAAAAGAATGGCAAAAACATGGCTGGTGAGATTGCTCAGCGAGTAAAAGCCTTTGCTGCACAAGCTTGGCCACCCGAGTTCAATCCCCACCACAGGCAGCAAACAAAGGCAGGGTATGGAAGTTCGCATTTGCTGTACCCCAGCACTTCTGAAAGATGGGTGGTCCAGGAACACGGTGCCAGCTAGCCTGGCATACACAGCACAGCAAAAAACAAAACCTGCCTCAGCAAAGGAGAGAAAGCCATCTCTCAAAAATTGTTCTGATCCCCAGAGAGGTCTTTCCTTCCCTCTTGCTGGACAAGAATGGCATCAGAGCCTGTGCTGCCTAGGTAGACTTCCTGCTCTCTGCAGGGCCCAGGAGTGTTTCAGTATTTTGTAAGTAAGCCCCTCCCCCCAAGGCCTGTTTTGTTTTATCAACTTTTTTTTTTTTTTTTTAAATCAGGACACTTGGAAAACTTAATTCCATTTTTTATTATTCAACATTTTATACATAATAAATACAAACTTTATACAGCCACTGTAAAGAAAGCGCATCTGCACGGAGGCTCCCTCTGAGCCCTGACCTGTGCATGGTGATGCTGGGTTATTCGGCCTGGAGAGAAGGGTTATTTTATTTTTTTAAAAAGGAGGCATATTTTTACAACTTTGTTTCTTAAAATAAAATTAGCAGCTCTTCCGAAAAAGATTTTAAAATATAACAAAAGAGTTCAAAAAACACTGAGGTTATGGGCAACTCAAATCCAAGGACAATTAGGTTAGCTAAAGAGAATACAAGACTGGGTGGCAGGAACTGCTCTGTTATAAGCACTTTGAAGATCAGCAAATTTGAAAATACTATAACACCCTTTTAATTTTTTAAACTTAAGAATAAGTTTGATAAACATAAAAAGACCTCAAATAGATCAACAGATAAAGAAATGCAAAAAAAAAAAAAAAACAAAAAAAAAACAAAAAACAACAAAAAAAAACAAATCCAAATCCATGGAGATGATTCATCAGAGTATTCTTTGCTGAAGTGATTGAATGACTGAAAATCGCTTCAGCTCCGATATCAGTCAAAAATCCCACGGGGACGTGTGAACATTTCAAGTTTTTAGAGACTCTCAGGAGGGATGGAAATACCAAAGCAACATACAACTTTAAATCTGTGAATTTCATTTCCTAACCAAGGCAAAAGAGGATTGGCAAACATCACTTTAAGAAGACCTCCATTCCACAGAGTGCGCAGCACTTCTGGGCCCTGCTGCTGGGGCCAGAGGGAGCACCACATGGTCTTCCATGACCTGCAGGAGGTGCTGTCTCCTTCGCCTCACCTGTGCTGATGTGCGGTCCTTTCTCCTTCCCACAGAAGGCGGGTTTCCTCCAGGGCCCACAGGGTCTTCACTGCAGACAAGTTGCAGGGCAGAGGGACCCGAGGCTGCACTTGCAGAAGGTGACAGCTGGGCTGCAGCAATCACAGCCCAGTTGTCTGGGACAGGACTCTGGCTTGGGAATAAAATAATGTAAGGGCCTTCCCAGCAGAGAAGCTGAGCAATACAGGCCTCTGTCCTCAATACAGTCACACACTCGGCCTCAAAGGATACTGCTCAGAGGGTATATGCTGTAAAAACCAAGAGGAAAAATACCCAAAGACAAAAAGAACATGAAAGTGGCTCATTTCAGATGTGGAAGCTCCACTTCCGCTTCTTCCACTGCCTCCCTTCTATGACTCTATGTGATGGGCAAGATGTGGCTTTAGCCCCTCCAGGTTAGCCCACTAATACTAAGTGAACGGCATCCATATTAATACAGAGGACGCTGTTATTTGCCGTTAGCTGTGGAAGAACTGTGCATTAATGCAACTGGCGCCAAGCTCAGGCAGTCCACTTTCTTTCCAGTAGGGTTGCATTTTCGGTCTGTGGATGAACCTCGGGGGAGGAGCCAGCCTCTCCTGGATCCCTCTAGTTTCCTTATACAGCCAACACGATCTGATTAGTTCTTAATCAGAAGAGCAAAATCCACTTGAAGAAAGACGAGCTCTGCCACAGTCTCGTGGCCGCAGTAATATACTGTACGAGTGCACATGATGGGTAATTCTGGGTCTGTGCCCTGATCTAGACCTGGCCTTGAGTCTCGTATAAAAACGGGCCACCATAAGACAGGGAACTGCTCCCCTCTGCTTCCAGGACCCACTAGGATTTGTGCTATGTAGGAGAGACGACATGGAAAATGACAACGAAAAAGGCACAATCAGGCCAACCAGTCACATAGAATCCTCCTTAGTTTTGATGTTCAAATCATGAACAGCCATCATCATGCAAGGTGCCTAAAAACAAGACTGGCCAAACTGCAAGCCTGGCCTTGATTGTAGCAGTAACAGCAGGTAAACCCGCTGTCACACCAGTGTGATCTCCACATCCTCCATTTTCTCAGCTGGCCGTCGGTGGTTCTGCGTGGGCGGCGGGGGTGCTGCCCGAACCTGAGCAAGACACAGTTATGGGATTGTGAGCCTCCTGATTCAGAGTCTGGCACAATGAAAGCTCCGGTGCTTCTCTATGGACACTGACACCTGAGGACCCCGGAAATGCTCTCAGCTTTCCATGTATTCCCTGCCCTGAACAGCAGGCCCCATTCTGCATGAAATGTCAGGTCAGATTGCTTGTTACACTGGAATTCCTAAGGCACACGCGTTGCTGTAGTCCTAAAATCTTTCTTCAAAGTAAAGGCCTGGGGCTGGCAAAAAAGAAGACACAGTGTAGGGACCGCAACTGCTTCACCGTGTGTCTGAGGGAACCACAGCAGGAGGCTGGAGAGGTGGGCTGGAGCAAGTGGAGAAGGGCTTTATTAAGTTACAGTAAGAAATTTGGATAGCCAGGCATGGTGGTACATGCTTGTAATCCCAGCATGCAAGAAGCAGAAGCAGGAAAATTATAGAAAGATGGAGGCCAGCCTGGCCTATACAGTGAGATTTTTGTCTCAAAAACCAAACCAAACCAAAAAACATAGGTCTGGAAATGTCGCTCAGAGGTAGAGTGCTTGCCCAGCAGGTTCAAGGCTCTGGGTTCAATCCCTAGCATATGGGAAAAAAAAAAAAGTTACAGAAGAAAGAAAAGAAACTTGGGTTTTATTCTCTAGGCAGAGGTTTTGGTTGGTTGTGTGGAGTGTCAGATCTGGGTGGGAAAACATGTCTCAACATCTTGAGAAACGACTGGGCAAGAGGACTCTGGAAGATGACTCTGGAGATGTTCTGGTCATTGGGGTGAAAGCAGATGTTAATCTGAACAGTGCAGAGCAGTGGAAGTACTGAGAGTAACCCAGCAAAACCATCACTGTCTTTGTGTTGAAGGGAAGGGGGCTGGGACCAGTAAGGCAGCAGGAATGATTCCAGGGCATGGAGGATGGCGTGTCGTCCACTCACCCACACAGGCAAGATGGAGAGGGGACAAGTCCTGAAGGGATTTTGCTGAGTTTTCAGGTTTGGGAAATCTAAGCTGTGATCTCACAAACCTGAAGCTTTCAAGAGAGAGAAATATAAATGTGGGAATTGTTGACTTGGGAACGGTTTTCATGGTCATGACAGTGGATGAGATCGCTTGGGAAGAGTAAGTTTAATGGCTTCAACAGTTAGAGCCAAGAGAAAGAACCATGAGGTGTA